GTTCGCCGGCTTTCCAGCCACTCTTCCCCAAGCCTGTAGCATTGCATGGGGTTGTTGTGACTGAAGTGCAGGACACGACACTTGGCCTTGTTAAACCTTATACAGTTCGCCTCAGCCCATTGGTCCAGCCTGTCCAGATCCGTCTGCAGGGCCATCCTACCCTCAAGTAGATTGACACTCCCACCCAATTTGATGTCATCTGCAAACTTACCGAGGGAGCACTCAATACCCTCATCCAGATCACTGATAAAGGTATTAAACAAGACTGGCCCCAAAACTGAGCCCTGGGGAACACCGCTCATGACCGGTCGCCAACTGGATTTAACTCCATTCACCACAACTCTCTGGGCTCAGACATCCAGCCAGTTTTTTACTCAGTGAAGGTTACACCTTCCTAAGCCATGACCCACCAGCTTCCCAAGGAGAATGCTGTGGGAGACAGTGTCAAAGGCTTTACTAAAGTCCAGGTAGATAACATACACAGCCCTTCCCTCGTCCAGTAGGCAGGTCACCTGGTCACAGGAGATCAAGTTGGTCAAGCAGGACCTGCCTTTCATGAACCCATGCTGGCTGGGCCCGATCCCCTGGTTGACCTGCACATGCCTGTTGAGCGTACTCAGCATGTACTGCTCCATAATCTTTCTTGGTACCGAGATCAGACTGACAGGCCTGTAGTTTCCCAGGTCCTCCTTCCGGCCCTTCTTGTAGATGGGCGTCACATTGGCAAGCCTCCAGTCATCAGGGACTTCCCTGTTAACTAGGACTGCTGATAAATGATGGAGAGTGGCTCGCCAACCTCCTGCGTCAGCTCCCTCAGTACTCTTGGGTGGACCCCATCCAGCCCCATAGGCTTGTGGTGTAGCAGGTCATTACCACTTCCTCCTGGATTATGGAGGGTTTATTCTGCTCCCCGTCCCTGTCTTCCAGCTCAGGGGGCTGAATACCCTGGGGATAACTGGTCTGACTATTAAAGACTGAGGCAAAGAAGGCATTAAGTACCTCAGCCTTTTCCTCATCCTTGGTGGCAATGTTCACCCCCACATCCAATAGCGGATGGAGATTCTCCTTGGCTCTCTTTTTGTTGTTAATGTATTTGTAAAAACATTTTTTATTATCTTTTACAACAGTGGCCCGATTGAGTTCTAGCTGGGCTTCTGCCTTTCTAATTTTCTCTCTGCATGACCTCATGAGATACCTGTCCTATTCTTGAGTTGCCTACCCCTTCTTCCAAAAGTGGTAAACTCTCCTTTTTTTCCTGAGTCCCAGCAAAAGCTCCCTGTTCAGCCAGGCCAATTGTCTTCCCCGCCAGTTCGTCTTATGACACATGGGGACAGCCTGCTCCTGCACTTTTATGACTTCCTTCTTGAAGAAGGCCCAGCCTTCCTGGACCCCTTTGCCCTTCAGGACTGTCTCCCAAGGGACTCTCTCAACCAGTGTCCTGAACAGGCCAAAGTCTGCCCTCTGGAAGTCCATGGTAGTCGTTTTGCTGACAACCCTCCTTACTTCACCAAGAATCGAGAACTCTTATCATATCATGGTTGCTAAGCCCGACATATCCCTTTGCTCAGTTGGCGTCAGCTGTCCCAGCTGTGTCCCCTCCCAGCTTCTCTGTGCACCCCCAGCCTACTCACTGGTGGGGTGGTGTGAGAAGCAGAAAAGGCCTGGACTCTGTGTAAGCACTGCTCAGCAGTAACTAAAACATCCCTGTGTTACCAACACTGTTTTCAGCACAAATCTAAAACATAGCCCCATACTAGCTACTATGAAGAAAATTAACTCTATCCCAGCCAAAACCAGCACAGCTGGGAACAATTAAATATTCAACTTAATCTTCAGATTTTTAAGGGTTTCAGCTCTGTGGCTGAAGACCACTCCCCAGGTAAGCACATTTTTCCTGCAAGAAAGTCCAAAGACACCTTGATACACAGGTAACCAGTGTATCTCCTGCAACCAACCTAATGACAGTCAGTCATGCACCATCCTTCCCAACAGCTGCAAGAGAACCATAAGGTTGCTCCACAGAAACAGGGTATTGCTAATCAAGCAGTGTATTTCACTCCTAAGTATGATATTCTTAAATGACAGGGTGGGTTGTCCCCTTTTCTTCCCCCCCGGCACCTGACAGCACTCTCTCATTTGTAGGCACAGTGAAAGTCATGAAAAACTTGTGTTCTCACAGACCTAAAATACAGCAGTCAACTGAGTAGCAGAGCACCAAGCAACCCTTGCTATGTCTTTGCTTCATGTCTTTGGTACTTGTTGGAAATGAGAAAATTAACAAGTGAAAATAAGTCTCTGTCCCTTTCCAACAAGCACGTTTAATTTTTGAGGCTTTGTTGGTGAAGATTAGAGTAGGGACAAGAAACAGTGCTGCTAAGAATTTATGCAATGAGTTGAGCACAGAGATAGAGGCTGTACAGTCTCATTTGCAAACACTTGAATGTCTACTGTTACAGGAGACAGATTATTAAAAAAAGCAGGTTTTATCAAATTTTAGTTAAAAGATAAACAGGTAGGAGACAGCCTCTGACCAATGAGCACATGTAAAGATCTATCCTGAAACAATTATAACTAAATATTGTTTAAACTTGGCAGTCATAGCCAATCCTCATGTTACAACCACCAGTGAATTCATCTAATAAATTTATAAAAGTCTCTAGTAATGCAGGGAAACATGATACCTGCTAAAGAATAGGAGACAGACACAGGATTTTAAGAATTCTAAGACATCCTTTGTGCCTTTTTACCCCCCGTTTTCTACTGCACAGAAAGGACAGAGAATAAACGTTTCTGAACACTCATCTACCCAATTATACAACTTCTAAAAATCTAAGCCAATACTAAAAAAAAAATATTTATACCAGCTAAACATAATGATGACAGGTTTTGCTGCTATAGCATTTTTGCCAATGCCTGGTCAATGTATTCTATGAGATATTCTGGATAAATCTGCTGCTTCTCAAAGATGACAAAGATAGAAGGGTTTGAAGAGCTATTCACACAACTGTCGTAGAAGTTTTGGTTGTCCTTCAAGGGAGGCCGAACATAAGAAGATCTACCAAGAGTGAACTCCCCCACCAGTACCCGTGCCAGAAACATGGTCTTGGTGTATGAGTCTTCGCTGCAGTAGTTGTCAGAGTAAGATGCATCCCTTGCAAAATAGCTTCCTGCAGAAGAGACACCAAGACAGAGTTGATAAGACACCAAAGTTGCAGGGAAGTATACAGTGTGAAAGTGAATTCATAAGCAAATCCATTAAGTAGTTCATGAACGGCCTTTCCAAAGCCTTCATTTGTCCTGTATGTCCTCCTCAGTGAAAATGACCACTATATATTACCTACACTTTTATTTTTCACAGCACACATATTAAAAAGCCACACAAGCAATGTTTTAAATGTTATCATATTCCTCAAAAAGATTTCCTCCTGACCCTAGATGTCCACCTTCCCCAATCTCATCCAACTTCCTCTCCTGACAGAGGCTACTAATATTCATTAGAACATTTCTGAGAGTTACAAAATATTCAATCGGATGGGTGGGTAGTCAGTCAGTCAGCCTGTCTCTTGACTATTCCACTTGGTATGTTGATCCTTTCCTGTACACAAGACAAGGTAAAGGAATATAATTTGCTAACAAGGCACAAAGCCCGTAACCAGGATGGCATTTATGTTCCTGGAAAAAAACCAAATAACGTCATGTTGCCTTCCTACAGGAGCTTGGAGAAATTGGAACAGAAGTAACCTGGACTCGAGGAGAAACCAGTCCTAGAACTGGCCTCTCCTAAGCTTGTCTTTTTCTGCAAGGACAGAGTGGAGGACAGATAGAGGCCAAGGCCTTTCAGTATGCCTTAGCTCCAAATGATCATTGCCAAAGTCAGCTATGTTGTCTACATCACTGCAGAGATAAGCCCTAGTTTGGCCGAGTGCCCTCTTTCTAATTTTACACCTCTGCAGTAACTACTGAGAATTTTTTAGCAAGTCTCAGGTTAATGAAAGAGCTGAAAAACAACCTTTGCCGTAGACTGTCCCATGAAGGCCACATATCCTCCAGTCGAAGTTTTGCAGACAGATGGCATCAATGTATTTTTCACTGGTCCCATGAAATAAAAGTCGCTCATCCACAGTCTCTCCACCATTGCCCTTCTGCATTTGTTCCTTCTGCCTGGAATAAGCAGCAGTATCTTTGCAGTTCCACAGTGGCTGTACCCAGACAGGTTCCAGCCATACTAGCACTCAGACAATTTTACATGAACAGTACATTCTGAAAATCCTTACATTAAGGCCTAAAGTTTGGGCATTGTCCTGGTTTCGGCTGGGATAGAGTTAATTTTCTTCCTAGTAGCAGGCACAGAGCTGTGTTTTGGATTTAGTAGGAGAAGAATGTTGATAACACACTGATGGTTTAGTTGTTGCTAAGTACTGCTTATGCTAGTCAAGGACTTTGCAGCTTCCCATGCTCTGCCAGGTATACAAGAAACTGGGAGGGGGCACAGCCAGAATAGTTGATTCAAACTGACCAAAGGTCTATTCCATACCATATGACATCATGCTCAGTATATAAACTGGGGGGGGGGGGGTGGCCAGGGGGAGGGGATCGCTGCTCGGCAACTGTCTGGGTATCGGTCAGCGGGTGGTGAGCAATTGCATTGTGCATCACTTGCTTTGTATATTATTATCATTATTATACTGTTACTATTAGCATTACTATTTTACTTTATTTCAATTATTAAACTGTTCATATCTCAACCCAGGAGTGTTTCTCACTCTTACTCCTCCAATTCTCTCCCCCATCCCACCGGGGTAGGGTGAGTGAGCAAGCGGCTGCATGGTGCTGAGTTGCTGGCTGGGGCTAAACCATGACAGGCATACAGGGTATCTTGCTGTCTAGCTGCATACAAACATGCTTTCGTTATGCACAAATGCCTCCAGATATTCAATAATAAACATGTTTTGTTTCATTCACTGCCTATTGGGAGAGAGGGAGGAATCTTACCATTACTTTTTTTTTTTCCTAAACACAGGAGTTCTTCTTAAGACCTTCCCTCACTGAGTGTTGCATTTAGTTTTGAAGGCTGGTTCAATTTTGACCAGCTACAAACCAGTGTTTGTGCCAGATGTGACTGATTACCAGCTTCAAGGCTTCAGTGGAAGGCAGCTGTCCCACACACAGGTCTGGCAGAAGTCAGAATCACTTACTCAGGAGCAAGGATTCCTCCCACAGAGCTCATCTGACTATTCTAAGCTCTATGTCTTGATTTGAGTTTTGGTTTTGTCAGTACCTCTTTTATCTACATGTTAATCCTGGCTAGGTATTTCAGCTGGGGAGCGGAAGCAGATTCTTAAATGCAGCTGCATTTCAGGAATGTGTGTGTCTATCTTTAGCACACAGCTAACTGCAGAAACAACAAACTTCATGCACACATACCAAAGCAGTATTTTACACATACCATTGATACAGTTCCCAGAGAGATGGGTTCTGAACTCTACGAATCCTTTTAATCAGTGTTTTGGGCATTGTGCGTTGGAAGTTCACCTTGACTTTCTTGTATTCTTCGGAAGAACTGTCAAGCTCAATCAGCTGTAAGGAAAAGATTAAAAAGCTACTCTAATCTTTTACTAAATCATAACAAAGCCACCCTACCTAGTGCACTACTCAGACCTTTAAAGTCTTTTCTGTGAAGCAGAGGTAAGAGCAGCAAAAATACTCTTGGAAACAAGGCAGATTAGAGACCGCTGCTCCCTCTGCTCTGTAAAAGTGAGCTCTTACGTAGGGAAGATTAACTTTTGGGGGGGGGTTTAAGGGTTTAAGACATCCAGGTTGCTCTCTCACAGGACGTTAAAGGAGCTGCATGCTTTTGTGCAGCCACCCAGCTCCTTTTAATATTTGGGCCAAGATACATTTGCACATACATATCAAACAGTACCTAAATACATAGAAGAAAGGAACACATAAATAAAAAAAGAATGCAGAATTTATGCTGCAGCAAATCGAAGAGTACCTCTACACCCATGCTTTTTAAATCTTTATAGTTTATACTCCCTACAGCCAGTGAACACAAACTGCACTGCCTGTTGTTTTTAAATAAATGAAAAGGCTTTATTTGATCAACCATTTTAGGGAAGAGCAGGGACACACTGCCAAAAATCAGTTCCTTACACAACAGTCCTGAAAGCAAGCAACATTTTCTACTTGCGTGTTTTCCCTAGGAACATCAAGAATGTCAATGTTAGCCTTCCTTATTTTTTACTGAGAATTTCTTGAGGATATGCATTTTGCAAATTAGTAATTTTCAAGCTTCATATAAGAAGATCTTTTCTATAGGTATAGTTACTAGAGTTGACAGAGGTGGTGGTGGAGGCAAGCAGGAAGTCAGCAAAGGTAAACGATGCAGATATTAATTGGGTGTGTTACAAAGGTAAACAAGTTCACTCCACTGGAGTTATGGTACATTTTAACAAATCATCCCAGCCTGAACTCTGCTGATTTCAGCAATGCTCCATAGACGTACAACAGTCTACTTATACACAGCTCAGAGAATGGCTACCCTAAAGTTTAGAGGTATGATTATCTGTCATACTTCAGAACATGTTGGACTTCAAAGCTCGCTGGGCACGAGTAACAGTCTTGCTAATACAGCATAAGCTTCAGGCAAATTTGCCAAGAAAAGGGCTAAATCGTAGCAGTGAAAGTCAATGTCACCACGGTTATACTGCCACCCATTGTTAGTTTAAATTTGGGTCTAGTTTCACCTCTAGGTCTGCCCAGTGTGATACCAGGCTCAAATGTACCAACACCTCTGCATTATGTTACATAAGAAATAGTCATCTACAAAGGCACAAGAAACACTGAACTTGTGATGTAACAAACCTGTATGCAACAAAACTGATGGAGAGGAAAAACAAAAAGCTCCAAACCTTGAATCCCAGTTCAGGCAGGGCAGATTTGTCCCAGTGAGCTGGAATGCCCTTAAACTCTTCTTTATGTTTAAAGCCCCTGTACATTACAAGACATTACAAATAGGTAATTAAAACAAAACAAATCCCTACATTTTATGTACATATGATACTAAACATTTTTGCCAAGTTTAAGGAGAATATAGGCAACTGAACGTAATCAGAAATATTTCAAAATTGCCTTTTCAGTTCAGTACATGAAAATATTTGTTCTAAATCATCATGTCAAGACCAATGGCAGGAAGCATGATGCCAAATGAGAAAAAAAAATCAAATAAACACTGAACTAAACATGAAAGTAGTTCTCTTAGTTGCAAAGAGTTGAATGTATACATAAAAGCTCTGCTATACTGGGGTAGATAAATAAAAATGCATCCAGTATCGTATCGGTATGACAGAAACAGATAGATACACCCCTCTACTTCCACCCCAGTTTTAATTATTGTGTTTAGCTACTCTTTTCTGTGTTGTTTAAGCAATCACTGTGTGCTGCAAGGGAATGCGTACAAAAAGTTGGCTGTTAACGTGCAATTACATAAAACTTCTCCCCTTGCAGACTCTCACCTTTTGCTCCACCTCTAACAATTACTACTTTCCTCTCAGATTGTCTGGCTGTTCTCAAAATAATTGTTTCTAAACTTGTATTTAGCTTTGAAAATTACTGATCTCAGATATCAGAAAGGACTAGTATGCATAAACATTACTGCTTCCATCTGTATCAGCTGCTCTAACAAGATAGCTCCCTCTAATCAGCAGCTCCCCACAACATTGCTACATGTTGAATTATTTTCTATGCTTTCACACTTTCTGTGACCAAGCCCAAACTTCCTTCATCCCCAAGGCTCCTGAGCTGCTTGAAAACTGTTGGCCATGCTGCAATACTGCCCTGACTAGACATTGTTGTAGGAAAGGTATGTCCCTTCCCCTCTCAATTTCTTTTACAATTGCCTTAACAGCTCCTCCTTCACCTTATTTACACCCTTGGAAGACACTGCATTCACAATGCACAAATCCATCACCTCAGAATGAGCAGTTGCAGTTTACCTTGCTCTTGTCTTTTCCATCTCTGTCTGGGAGACAAATTTAGGTCTTCTGCGAATCTCTCTCTCTGTTGTGTAGCAAAGGTTTTTCTGAATCATGGCTGGGGGGGAAAAAAACACCACAACCCTGAACAAAGGGTTCATCAGAAAGATGTTTTAGAAAGCCTTCATGCTGCAGCAAAACTTGCCACTAAGTCGTTTTGTCAAAAATGTTGACAAAAAGGCACCGAGTTTTTTTCTTGCTACACAAAGGGAAGTCTGAGCAGGATGTGGAACCCATGGTCTACCCATATAAATCACGGAGAAGTATTTCAGTTTCAGTTTCGCTCTTAACTTTAGAAGGAATGACAGGCACTGGTAGCTATTTTCGCTTCATTGGTCCATCAGCCACACTTAACCAAAAAGGATCATTGTAAAATTAGTATCTATTTTGCTCCATGGATTGCATCCCCTCCTTCTCAATTTGCAATCAAGATACTGTTTTCCTACATGTGGTTGTACATTTCAAACCTTATAAACACAACCTGACAGCTATGACAGGCCATTTATTTTTACTGACTACCAACAGAAACAAGTCACAGCAACCTGAGTTTTAGAGGCATTCTTTCTGGATCTTGGAACCTCTGCAGCTACTGCCACATCATACTAGCAACTAAAAGGCAGTAGCAGTCAGGAGAATGAGGCCTCATCTTCAGAGATACACAGGAAGAAAACAAACAACAAAAAAACCTCTTGGCACCACCAAGCCTAGAAAGCTTTGGAAGACGTCTACATTGTGTATGTTTGCCCAGGTTACTAAAAAAGCCCGAACCTTACAAAAAGGATTGATTCACTATGCAATTTTCCCTTCTAAGCCAGACAAGTTTCCCCAGCCTAAACAGACAATTACAGCATTGCTTTCAATTGAGTCACAGACAACACATCACATGCACTGTCTGCTTAGTTTTTTTTCCATGCAGAATGAGATAGTAATGGAGAGTTGGATCAAAGGCAACTACACCAAAATCACAGTCTAGTCAGGCTGATTCCCACCACTACTGTTCCCTATGAGTTTTGAAAAGGCTACCTGGAAAGGCAACAGATCAGAGAGGACAGTGCCATCACAAATGGCTTAAATTTCCTGAACTCTTGGGAAACACAACTTCCTACTTTGACACAGTCAAGGTATTTCCTCAGCCTTTCCAGACAGGCAGAGCTATGAAAAGAAAATAGCTACTATCCTGGTTTCAGCTGGGATAGAGTTAATTTTCTTCCTACTAGCTGGTATAGTGCTGTGATTTGGATTTAGCATGAGAATAATGCGGTAACACACTGATGTTTTACTCATTGCTAAGCAGTGTTTATA